AAGTACCTCTACACGACTCACTATGGCCGTAAATCTTTAAGATATGGAGAACTAACACTAACTGTCGACATCGTCTTAGATAGTTTTGTGTGATACATATTTGTCAAACTTCAGTCAAGTTATCATGGCCGGTAAACACAAAATGTATAAGTGCCAGCAAACATTTGTTAAGGCTGACACTTTCCTGTTAAGTACTAATAGTACATACACAGAACTTTTAAAGGCCTTAATAGTACTGTTAAGTTAAGAGGCCCCTGGAGCTTTTATCGGGAAAGGTGAGATATGTTTAATGAATACAGTGATTCTGAACTCACCATGCGATAACTACCGGGCCGTGCAGGAATCATGGCAGTGAGGGAAACATTACAAAGTAGAACTGGGAGGAATTGGGCTTTAACCCCCAGAGATGAAAGTGACCATGACCTTGTGTTATTTAGCGACTGGAAGAACGCAACTGTATAGCTGTGATGATTTTGGAACTACTCAGTCTACTATCACCCGTACTATAACTCAGACACTGAATGCACAAACTGAACCAAACATTTTGTGTCTGTTTGTGAAGGTCCCACTCGCCCAGAGAGAAATTCAAAGAAAGCAGCTGAATTCATTGAAATTGGTGGGTTCCCGGTGTTGTGTGTGTGATCAATGGCACACACATAAAAATTGTGGCTCCTCGTGTAAGTGAGCATTTATATGTTAACAGGAAACGCTACCAAGCATTCACCAATAATAAAGTCTGGTCTGTTGTCCAGTTGGGCTTCCTTTTATTTGAATATTTATTTTGGTAAGGTTATGGTTAGGTTAGGTTAGGTTAGGTTAGGTTAGGTTAGGTCAGGTCACGATGCACTAATAACATCCTTTCTTCTTTATATGCTATGAAAATCTGTGATATATTGCTGATCGTCCGTCCGTCCGTCCGTCCGTCCGTTCGTCCGTCCGTCTGTCTGGCCCCAGTACAGTCTTACATTAAAATTGTACTCCAACAGCTAAGGTCTTATAGCGTGTGTGTGTGTATATACAATCCGGTTCACTCAAGGTAGTAGCTATTAGGGCTTTTACTCATCCACCCTCCCTTTGATGAGTTGGACGCTTGGGTGGTTAGCGTGAAGGGGAGAGAACCAAGTATGTCAGATGTGGCCTCACCCCCCTCCTCTCTCTCTCTCTCTCTCTCTCTCTCTCTCACAGGTGGTTCGGGTAGAGTTTTAAGTCACACAGGGTTAAACAAACGCGCCCACTAACTGACGTCAAGTGAATTTTACACCTCCGTTCTCCATGTGACTCAGTGACCATCAATTGCTAATAATAATAATAATAATAATAATTAACGGTTTATTAAGAGCTTGCTTGTAGAAGGCTGAAAATATAGTTACATATTTGGGGAATGGGTTACAATTACAAATAATATACAAGTGACATAAGTGACACAAATAAGACTATATAGTAACTTAGATGGGGATCAGCTCAAACTAGTTCATTTTTATTATTATTGATATTGTGTGTGTGTGTGTGTGTGTGTGTGTGTGTGTGTGTGTGTGTGTCTGTGTGTGTGTGTGTGTGTGTGTGTGTGTGTGTGTGTGTGTGTGTGTGTGTGTCTGTCTGTCTGTCTGTCTGTTAGTTACCCAGTGCATCAACAAGATTAGCATAATGAATAGTGACAAGGGAGAGAGAGTGAGATAATGGGAGATACACAACGAGAGAGACAAGAATGAGACAATGTGAAATAAGAAGCACAGAAAGAGACCAGGAGACTATGTATGTATGTATGTATGTATGTATGTATGTATGTATGTATGTATGTAGTTCTCCTCCTCCAGGGAATTGAACTGTGATTCTAAGATGCTGAAACAATACGGATTTAGTTCCCAACTTCCTGGTTTATTTAGTTTGTCTGCAGGAGCCCAATTTCTTTATAAAGTCTAGCTCTGTCTTGCCCCGAGGAGTGAGGATGATTCTTAGTGGACACAGGAGAGTTTGTTCAGGACACGTCTTATTCTTGGTGGTCATAGTAGAGAAGGTCAGCTGTCTCACCCCTCCGTAGCTAAGGTCACCTGTAGGTTCACACGTCACCTGAGGTCACCTGTAGGTTCACACGTCACCTGTCACACACACATACTCCTGGGCCAAAATATGCTCTTACGAGTTACCTTGAGAGACACACCTGTATGTGATATCGCTGAGTACTGTGGCTTAATTATCTTCTACAGGTAAAGGCCAGAGAGTCCATATCAGTCAGGTGTCAGTGTCTGTAGGTGCAGGTGTGTTCTGTGAGGAGTGGCAGACAGGTGTGTTCTGTGTGGAGTGGCAGAGAGGGGGCGTACACAGTGGTTGAGGGTCTAGATGATTAACAGCTATCAGGAGTGTGGGGTAGTTAGTGTACCTTTTACCAGTTATTTTAATACTATATTTCATTTGAATTATTTCCACACCTATAAATTCTCCTTTAATTATATACACTAATATATTGGATTCTTACCTTTACCTTCCATAATACGATAACATTATATTTATTATTATTATTATTATATTTATTATTATTATTATTTTTATTATTATTATTATTATTATTATTATTATTATTATTATTATTATTATTATTATTATTATTATTATTATTATTATTATTATTATTATTATTATTATTATTATTATTATTATTATCATCATTGTTGTTGTTGTAGTATTTGTTTAATTCTTCTTCTGTTTCTTGTGATCTTTATTTTCATTATTCTTATCATTCCTTCAATATCATCATCATTATCAGTAAACAGGGACTTTCGTTTCTTCATCAAGTCCATTTTCTAATCACACCGTAAAGATAATATAAATAAAAAAGGGACAATAAAATATATACTCTTAAGCTACTTAGATTTACTTTTATGCTGTATAAAAATATAAACTTATTAATCCATAACATTTGAAACTTAACCAAATAAAGTTGCAGTACAGAAACATTTGGAGATCACTGACAGACGCAGACAGGCCTAATAGAGACTCTGTCCAGGGGGTAAGGGTAGAGGGAAGGGTTAAAGGGGGGTGGTAAGGGTAGGATGAAGGGGTAAAGGGGGTGGTAAGAGTAGGGGGAAGGGGTAAAGGTGGTTGTAAGGGTAGCGGGGAGGGTTAAAGAGGGATGATAAGAGATTTTCTGGGCCCAGGGCAGCTTATCACAGGGGGAGGAAGAAGAAGAAACTTGAGGGGCAAAGACTCGAGGTAAAGACTTGAACCAGGAAGGAAAAAGACTAAAAAAAAAAAAGACTCGAGAGGTGAAGGTGAGACTCAACCAAGAGGAGAAAGACTCGACCCTGAGAAGAGACTCTTATTTAAGGGTCAATTATAAGGGGAGACTCAAAGGGAATGTGGCTGAGGAGACAGTTCGAGATCAGGGTTAACCGTGAATATGAGTTATGTGGTTTACGGATGAGTTATGGTTTACACAGTGACAAGTTTACACGTAGTTTACACACTTAGTAACAATTTCCTCGCAGCTAAGTACAACGGTTTACATAATCAGTGACACTTTACACCATTGAGTGTATGTATACTAGTGGTTAACATTGTTTGCACACCACACATGAGTAATGGCTTAAAACAGCTTACAGATATCTGAGTATACCTGTGAAGAACCACTTGTAAACATGAATATTCATAAGAAATACACAGAGTATACTGGTTTACATATAAATATACACACAAGGAGTATAATAGTATGCATATAAATATTAATTCACAAGGAGTATGCAGAAATATGCTTGAAAAATAAACACATACACGAAAATACACTTAAAACTCAAAAAAGTATACTTGTGAGTTAATGACTAGTCGTACAGTACACCATACACACTTAAATGACACTTAAAAAACTTTAGGTTACACGTGGATGACTTCATAACACTCTCCTCTCTTACTTCATAGTGTTGGCCTATTGGCGTAACAAGAACACGACGTAATGTGATGTGATATAACATCCTGAATAACGTCTCTAAAGTTCCACTGAAAATGACTCTTATGTTGTCCAGTCAAACAGGAGGCCACCCAGTTGTAACGATTCACCCTTTGAGGATAATGGTTTAACCCCTTGAGGTTGGTGTAAATTATCATGGTTTAACCCTTGAGGATGGTGTAAATGCTTAGGTATCATGGTTTAACCCCTTGAGGTTGGTGTAAATTATCATGGTTTAACCCCTTGAGGATGGTGTAAACCCTTGAGGATGATGGTTTAAACTTCTCGTCCTCAAAGGGGTAAGGTTAGACCTGGGGCCCAGTAGGACTGAGGGCCCATTTGGCTCCCAACCTTGTCTACTTGGCAGCTAAGGCTCTACACTGACCAGCTTACACTAGTTTAAGACAAGTCTACGAGGGAGATCAACTTAGCCCTCTTGTTTACATATGCTTGAGCTACATGTGGGCACCAAAAGATGGGACTTGTGTGTGTCTAAGCACGACCTAAGCCTTTATACAGTTGGGTGTCCAAATGTGTCCCAACTCAAATGTATTTTTCACTGGGTCAAGGCATTTGGACACTCTGCATATATTCTTATCCTCTGTTACGCCATTCTGAATAAACACGTTACATATAATGAGATAATTTTCTACGTAAGTTTGATAGCATGTCATGTAAATCTAAGTATAACAGATATAACTATATATCGTGGTTAATATAACCAAACTAAAAGAAAATATCGATAAAGAACCTTATCATTATGTGAATCAACAGACACTTAAGAATGACTATATATCAACACTAACACGAAGTCAATGTCAGTTCTCGATGTTTATTTTGCTCTGTTTCTGGTGGACCGTTACGCCCGCGGAGTCACTCTCCGTTTTCTCTCTCTCTCTCGTCATCACCAGCTGCATTTTCTTCCACACTACTGTAATTAGGTCACTGCGTTTTGTCGAATTAATTATATATATATATATATATATATATATATATATATATATATATATATATATATATATATATATATATATATATATATATATATATATATATATATATATATATATTGGAGCCTATCAATGCTGTAATAAGTAAATAAGTAAACTTATTTCCCGTACATAAACAAGTTAACGGCTGTTGAAGCTCTGCCAAATGTATTAATGTTTTGTTTATAATATACAAGAGGCTCCTCTACCCTGACGAGTGACAACACGCACGAGATGTGAAGCAGTTGGCAGGTGTATGGGGAGACGGACGGCTTCCAACACACTGACAACACATCAATCTGTTTACAGATAATGATGTACAGGACAAGTGCGCACACAGCCCTTAGAAGTGAAGGATGACCGGATCACCAGGAAAGAAGCCAGACGTGTCCTGACTGAAGGCTTCGTACTGATGCTTGATGGGGTTCCGTGCCACCGCCTCCAGGGAGGGCACGGCTAGACGGGCGTGTCGGAGGGGCAAGCTGGCGTACAGAGTGTTGACGCGCTCGACCCCCAAGATGCTGTTGTCGGTCTCCGTGGTGAAGAACGACCCCCAGAAGGAGCTCATCAGGTCGCAACCGGAGTCATGGTCCATGGCGTCTCCGATCATACCCTCAGCCGCCAGCTCCTCCACGATGGCCACGGTGTCGATCCCTCTCAACGAAGGCGCCATCACGTCCTGGGCGAGGTGGTCCCCGACGTATAGGCAGTGAGGGTTCTCCACGCAGGTCTCACGCTTCACCAGGTTCAGCAGGTCATTCCAGTTACCTCCTGAGTAGGTCCCATCAATACGTAGCTTATGTGCGGGAACTTCTTCGGCGTCGTCTGCACCTACGAGGAAGCGAAAAGGTCTCTCCATGCTGAAGAACCCGGGCTTCTTGGCTGTGCATATCATCGTGTCGAAGTAGTCCCGCCAGTCTGGACCCAGGACGTATCTGGCGCAATGTGATGCATAGTCGATACTTGATCCAGATATGAGGAATGTAAAAGTGTGTTCATTGATTGACTTGAGCCATTTCTTCAGTTTTTCGCTGGCCTCGTAAATGTACTTCTCTGGGGAGGTCTTCATCTCCGGGAAGAATCCTCCCAAGTCATTGCGAAAATGTTCCCTGCGATACATATTGCACATGGCAACGTGGACGTCTGGCCAGATGTCGTATTCCTCCAGGGGTCCCTCAGGTGAGCTGTCCTGTGCGTCAATCGCCCGTGCACAGGCGACGGCTGCTGGCATATCAAAGTAATCCTTGAAGGATCGCAAAACTGGAACCTCACCGGATACAGGATGATCACTCAGCGTCCTCATGAACTCGAGGACGGGCTCCCAGATCCTATCCTTCCCGTACGTGTCATGAATTTCATCTCTGGTCATGGGTCGCGTCCCGTGGGTGGCACGAAGGATGCGGCCGTTGTCTGAACACTTGAGGAAGTTCCCTCTCTTAATATCCATGATGAGTCCCTTCTGCAGGAAGTCCATGTCGTCGTCAAGGGGCAACAACAACTCCGGTTCGTAGCCATAACGATTCACCATGTAGTCAGCGATGAGGTTATACTCGAGCCTCAAGATCTCCCCGACCTTGTACCTGCAGATGGTGTTGTCCAGGTCGAAGCCAATACAGTCGTAGTCCGAGAACTTAAAGGTGTCATTATCAGGGAAGGGCTGTTGCTTCTTCCTCTTGTTGTTCTTGCAGAAATACTTCTTCTTCATGACCTTCTCCCGGAGGGTGTCTTCCTCGTTCACGGTATGTAGCACCATGTTGGCGGTGAAGGTGTAAGTGGCCTCTTGGTACTCGCAAGACTCTACTGAGATGGACCACTCGGGCATTCAGGCGTACAATATCAGATGTGCAGTTCGTGCGCGGGGTCTTGTTGGGTGTAAGAAGGCACCAGCTTGTTCCCGAAGGTACGAGAAGTGCGGTTCTCCTTGTGTTTTATATTTCACTGTGAATTTGTTGTAGATTGGTAGGTAATTAAGGACTTGCACACTACGCAGTTACTGTATGAGCTTGGCTACTCCAGTTTCCAGACACTACTTCACTGTTCGTTCTCTACTGCTCTCGTACATCATAACACGGTAAGCACAGTCTGCTGTAGAGCCACTAAAACTGTTAAACACGGCCACTGTGTCACAAGCACTGCTCAGTCACTAACACAAGACGCGGGCGGTGCAGAGCGAGCTGGCAGTGCGGGAAGCATTCATGGTGGTGCAGGTGGTTGTGTTGTGGGCAGGAGAGAACCAGCCCCTGTGTGTGTCTGGCCGTGTCGCCACTGCTACTGAGGGTCCTTGCGCTGCCCTGGCCGGTGCCCGCGATGCCCGTGCCAACTCTACACCCTCCACCTCACCCCTTAACCCCCTCTCTCTTCTCCTCCTCCTTGTGCCCAAATCCTCCGCAGCTCTCGACTATCTTCCCCCTCCCAACCCTCCCTTCCTCCCTCACCCCCAACTTCTCTCTCCCCGTCGCCTCCACAACCCACCTGCAGACCTTCTTCGTATGCCACACCCTCCCACACTCCCTCCTCCCCCCTTACGTCCGTCCTCGTAGCGGCCAGTGGAACCCCACCAACCAACAACACCTCCCTCACCCTCCTCCCGTCACCACTCTTCACACACACACACACACAGGGCTTCCTAGTACTTCCTGGTGAAGGTGCATCTGCTGGTGACGGCTCTTCAGTGATATATCCTGTCTCGGGGTATGTTTTCGGTGAGGTGCATGAGACAACTTCCCCGGGGCGACATGACTGTTGTCAGCCGTAAGACTTTTTGGTATTACCCGGAATATATTTCTGACGAAGGCAAGACCGCAGTGCAGTAGAGGTGTGATGGCGACGACTTTGGTCACGCTCTCACTATATAAAGACACACCTTCCTCACAGCCACGTGACCACAGGCACTATAAACGAAGACCACATGGGGATTACGCAGCAGAATTCTCTACTGACGAAGACAAAAGTCCTGTGACTACTTTCTGGAAGCATCAGGCAGAAAGCAGCGACACACACAAACACAAACACATACACACACACACACACACACAAACACACACACATACACACTATAAGGAGACTGCTTAGGTGATCAGAAGTATACAGTGTCGCCATTACCATAAAACAGATCTACAAACGGAGGAGAGAACGTTAATGTGATGTTGAGGGAGCATGATGGTGTTGTTAGTGGTGTTGTTGTTGGTGTTGTTGTTGTTGGTGTTGTTGGTGTTGTTGTTGTTGTTGGTGTTGTTGGTGGTGTTGTTGGTGTTGGTGTTGTTGGTGTTGGTGTTGTTGGTGTTGGTGTTGTTGGTGTTGGTGTTGGTGGTGTTGGTGTTGGTGTTGTGGTGTTGGCGTTGGTGTTGTTAGTGTTGGCTCATGAGGTCTGACGGTGACAATATATATATTTTTTTCAAGTTGATTTAACAAGAATATTCCACAGTGATTGTGTTTAGGAATACATCGTCTCTCTCTCTCTCTCTCTCTCTCTCTCTCTCCAAAGGAAAGACTTATAAATTTAGATGAAAGTGAGGAAGATCCCGTGAGAGGAGGAGGAAGAGAGAGGAGGAGGAGGAGGAGGAGGAGGAGGTCCCAAGAGGTGAGGGTGGCGCAGTCAGTTCTTACCAGATGAGGGGTCAGAGAGGAGGGTTATTTTTTCCCTCTCCTCCCCTCACTATCAGATGGGTAGTGAGGGGAGGAATGCTTTTTTTTCCTCCTCCCCTTTGTTATTCTTTCCCTGCTGTTGTCATCACCTCTCCTTTACCTAGATTCCCCCCCACCCTCTGTTTTTTATTCCTTCTCCACCTTTCTCCCCACCCTCCTCTCCCCACCCTCCTCTCCCACCCTCCTCTCCCACCCTCCTCTCCCACCTTCCTCTCCCACCTTCCTCTCTCCCACTCTCCCCACCTTACTCTCCCACCCTCCTCTCCCACCCTCCTCTCCCACCTTCCTCCCACCTTCCTCTCCCCACCCTCCTCTCCCACCCCCTCTCTCCCCACCCTCCTCTCCCACCCCTCCCTCACCCCTCCCACCCCTCCTCCCCACCCTCCTCTCCCACCCTCCCTTCCCACTCTCCCCCCTCCTCTCCCACCTCCTCTCCCACCCTCCCTCTCCCACCCTCCTCTCCCACCCCTCCTCCCCCCACCTCCCCACCCTCCCTCTCCCACACCCTCCCCTCTCCCCACCCTCCCTCCCCACTCCCTCCCACCCTCCCTCCCCACCTCCTCTCCCACCCCTCCCCTCCCACCCTCCCTCTCCCACCTCTCTCCCCCACCTTCCCTCCCACCCTCCTCTCCCACCTTCCTCTCCCACCTCTCTCCCCACCTCCTCCCCACCTTCCTCTCCCCACCTTCCCTCCCACCCTCCTCTCCCCACCCTTCCCTCTCCCACCTCTCCTCCCCACCTTCCCTCTCCCCTCTCTTCCTCTCCCTCTCCCACCTTCCCTCTCCCACCTCCTCTCCCACCTTCTCTCCCCACCCTTCCTCTCTCTCCCACCTTCCTCTCCCTCTCCCACCTTCCTCTCCCACCCTTCCCACCCCTCCCCACCTTCCCCCACCTTACTCTCCCACCTTCCTCTCCCACCTTCCTCTCCCACCTTACTCTCCCACCTTCCTCTCCCACCTTCCTCTCCCACCTTCCTCTCCCACCCTCCTCTCCCACCTTCCTCTCCCACCTTACTCTCCCACCTTCCTCTCCCACCTTCCTCTCCCACCTTCCTCTCTCACCCTCCTCTTCCAGTGTGTGTGTGTGTGTGTGTGTGTGCGTGTGGTGGCCCCGACAGATACACGTACACATGAGGTAACACCCGACAGACACGTACACATGAGGTAACACCCGACAGACACACATACACACAGGTGTTTATCAGCGTCAGGGGACACCAGACTCTTCCCTCCTGCCGGTGTCTCCAAGGGCCGATATTTTCTATCTACTGACGCAGGTGATAAAGAAGTAATGTATCCCTTCCTGTTTCTTCTTCCTCTTTCTTCCTCCTCCTCCTCCTTCCTCCTCTTCCTTCTTCCTCTTTCTCCTTCCTCCTCTTTCTTCCTCTTTCTTCTTCTTCCACTTTCTCCTAAAACCTCTTCTTTATTCCTCTTCATCCTTCCTCGTTTCTCTTTTTCCTCCTCCTCCTTCTTCCTCTTCCTCCTTCCTTCTTCCATTCGTTGCTTTCCCTTCCTTCTCCTCGTTGCTTATCTTTTTCCCTCCTTCTCCTTTTTTATCCTCTTCTTTGCTTATCCCTCCTCCTCCCTATCCCATCCCAAGCACCAAACACAACTAAACCATTCCTTCTCTCTTATAAATTTCTGATCACAGATTCTCAAAGATTTTTACGTCGAAAGTTCCTCATAAGTGAAGATACGATAACTTACTATCGATCTAACTTACGATAAAATATCAACTCTGACCAAACTAGTATTAAGGTTTGACCTGAGATTTGACCTTGGTTGGCTGCGTTGACTTAAGTATAGTATAGTACCAGTTAGAAGAATGTGTTGTGTATTTAGCGTTGTTGCTAGTTAGGAGGAAAGTTAGTTAATAATTACTTTCACCATTTTGGAAAGCTTTCGTCACACACACACACACACACACACACACACACACACACTGCTACCTGTAAACGTTGTCGCTAGGAGCCTGTGCATACGTAATAGGGTGTGAGGTATTGGTGCGGCGTGTCGGAGTAGTTTGCTTCTGGCTTTGGTGAGAGCAACGAAGATGGTGTTTCCTCATTGCTTGTAGCGAGGGGCAGTGAACTTGGTACAGTACTCTAGTCTTACGGTACAAGTCTGTGTACCTGGTGAGAAATATATAGGAAGTAAAATGTATTTATAAATGGAGAGAAAAAGAGAGAGCAAAAAAAGAGAGAGAGGTAAAGAGAGAGAGAGAGGTAAAGAGAGAGAGAGAGAGGTAGAGAGAGAGAGAGAGAGAGATAACGCTCGTATATGACCCATGAAATTAACTGTTCAACTGTTATTGGCATATAAACGATACTATATATCATTCTGTGGTGGGTGTATCAATAGGATGACTCTCTCTCTCTCTCACTGTACTTCCTGTTTACATTTAAAGAGATATGTCAGTGTATTAAATTCTCGACCGTATTTTCACTCACATGGAATCGAGTGTGAGCATCGCGGTCAGGGTCTTTTAAAGTTGAGGTTCCCAAAGAGGATGCGGGTCTAGTCAGCTGATCGACCATAACAATAACAAAGATCAGCTGATATAACACGTGTTTCATTAACCAAGTCAGCTGATATAACACGTGTTTCAATAACCAAGTCAGCTGATATAACACGCGTTTCATTAACCAAGTCAGCTGATATAACACGTGTTTCAATAACCAAGTCAGCTGATATAACACGTGTTTCATTAACCAAGTCAGCTGATATAACACGTGTCTATAGTTAACCAAGTCAGCTTATCGACCATAACAATAATAAACATGATATTAGACGTTTTTTGGGGTAAAGGCACAACGGGACGGCTGGCAGAACTATGAGTGGGGCTAAGATGTCTAGCTGACTGATAGTGAGTAACTGTGCATGAAAAGGGATGATGTGGTAATATATAATGTGTAGCCTGGTTACACACACACACACACACACACACACACGAAGAGACAAAGAGAGAGCAACTATGACGAGGAATATGCCCGGGAAACTCTCCAAACAGTTTAACAGGTCACTGGACAAATGGGCCCCAGTCCTAATGGAGCCTGTTCTTATGGCCCTCAATCTTAATGGACCCCAATCTTAATAGCCCCTAATCTTAATGGACCACCTCAATCCTAATGATGAGGCTAGGTTAATATGATATGTATTTGAATTGTTACCGAATAGCATTGGGGCCCATCCAGACTTATGACCTATGAAGAATGGGGCCTCTCTGACTTGTAACCGTTCATAGGTCTACTATGTGTTGCGTTGTGTTGTGTTGTGTTGATGTTGTCGTAGTAAAGAGTGTTGTCGTAATACCTGTTGATAGATCCTCACCTGTGACAGTCCAACTCATGTGTCGTGTGTGAATGTGGTGTTGCAAAACCTGAGTGTGAGTCAGCTGCCGGTGAGTGATGGAGATTCAACACGGAGAAGACAGTTAAATAAATCATAAACAACAGTACAGGTACATTTACGAATGCTAATACAGGTACTAATATAGGTAGAATTACAGGTACAAACTTAGTTACAGGTACAAGTTGAGGTTACAGGTAGAAATGCAGGTTCAAGTTGAGGTACAGGTAGAAATGCAGGTACAACCAATCCAAAAAGTATCGAGACTCCAGATGTCCGAAAGAATATGAAACAT